ACACGCACATAGGACTTGTCTACTTATGTCTCAGAGTGATGGGATGAACTGCTATGGATAGACGTGTCGCTTACCACCAGGCGCAGGGCTTGTTCGTCAGACGCAATTTTTTTGTATGTATGTTACACGATAACTCCGTGAACAGATTTTGAAGATTCTTTTTTTGTTGGAAAGAGGGTACTTCTGTGTTGGTCCTATTTAAATTTGAAGAAAATATTTCATCTCTAAGGGTGGCTAACTAGGGGATGAACTAATTCCACGAACTTGGCAAATAGAAGTAATTCTACGAATTTTTGAGGTCGACTTTTTAGTAGTCTGTGCTGAGGTCATCTTGTACAAAATAAATAAGTACCTTACAAAATATATCTGAAAATACTTTTAACGGTACATAAAGCTACGCGTGTTAATTGAACACCCTATCAAATTTCTTTTTAATACTTGAAACAAAATCCGAAAGGAAAATTTTAAGGTCACAAAATGAGAATTATAAAATGTTTTTTTAACGTCGCGTCGTAAAAACGCCATCTACAACGTTCTCCGTAATTCAGTACCTCGCAAAGTGCTATGGGATCGAGTAATGATCATTTTTAGGTACCGGTTTCATGACAAGAGCTCGGTTATTGCACATTCGAGCGGGTTGGTAGAACGGAGAACAGATGGTTCTCAATTGACAGGTGGACGAATTTTTGTGGTGGTATGTACCAGGGATTTTCTGAGTTATGTATGGTAGAATAAGTTCGCATTTGGCCTCCAACTCACTTAATAGAAAGTCACGATGAGGTCGACATTAGATGCATGCGAGAATAATGCCTGTACACTCTCACTTTGAAAAGATCCGAGTTATAGCGCTTAGGGAATAATGTCTAATATATATAACCGCTCACGCGATACATACAGCCGTAGACGTAGAAGTTATAACAGGTAAAAGAACTAATATTAATTGCTATTTCGGTAACTGCTCTAGCAAACCATAAAGTTTTTAATGCCTGGGTCTGTCATTTAAAAAAAATAAACAACTTCAAAAATACGTCACGACAATCGTGTGTGTTATTGTTTGGGCTGGTGATTTCGGTGTTTATTTATTGAAAACATACCGTAAGTAGCGTTTTTTAAGTTTACCCTGAATATAAATGTTTATAAACTATACTTTAAGGAGTAATTTCATGGTAAACGTTAGAACTACTCAAACGGAATATTATCATATTTACCCAAGTACACCAAAAATTTCATTAGTGCTTTTAAAGTGTAGGATTTGCGGTGTATTACTGCATTTTATTTGAGGTGTTTTTGTTGGTAGTACGGAGGGTATTTATTTAGCAATGCAGAATAATAATTTTTATTTATAAAAACTTGTATTTAAACCGAATCCTTTTCTAATTTGCGAAACCAAATAGCCGCCATTTTGCAGAAGGATGAGCGCATCGCGTGAGCGGATAATATCAAATGACGGGACGAACAAGTTATGCGCCTGATGGTGAGCTGCATGCCTGTTCATAACAGTTGCAGTGCTTTAAGTAAGTTCAGAGCTTTAAGTTGACAAGTCACACGTGCCTGTAATTTCACCAGCAGCTTACCTTTCTAAACCGGAACGCAGTAATGCTAACATTACTGCTTAGCAGCAGAAACAAGTACTTCTTTGGACGAACTCTTTCACGTGGCGCTCTACGGTTACGATCACACAATAACTGTCATTGTAATCAACTGCAGCTTTATGTACTTTTTCAACTATTTGCAGTACAATTATTGCATTATATTGGATTCATATATTAATTGATCTCGTCGAGTTGTTAGCTTACCGATGGTGACTTTTTTCTTTTTGGAGTACACTGTTTTCTATCGGGGTTTTTGGAATATTAATTTAAGTTTTATGGATATTACGCTGGAATCACACTACAAGATATGGGTACATTTATGTGATCTGTGGACACATGCAATTGTGTTTTTTCATGGTACGCTAGTAAACTTGCCATAATTATGTCCTAAAGAGTCTATATACTACCTCAAATAAGATAAGATAAGATAAGATAAGATAAATTTATTTCAATATTACTTAATCTAATACAATTATAATGAAAACAATGTAATTGAAGATAAAATATTAAAATAAACAGTAATAAACAAAACAAAAAAAAAATCTAAATTATATAAAATAATCATGGTAAAATTAAACATTTTAATCTTAGTGCCTAATAGTGCAATTGCGATGCCTAAACTAAGTACATGTGTACCTGTATTTTAGGCATAATAGTGCATTTTTCATAACAAAGCTTAAAAAAATAAAGATTTTATAAATTTAACAAATTAAAGATAAGTAGTTATAAGTCGTTACAATTTATAAAAGATAAGTAGTTAAACATTACATATTATATAAATATAAATTATGAAATAACTTCCAACAATTCCTCGGTATCATTGTAGGTTTTACTCTTAAGCCAAAATTTGACGGTCTTTTTACATTCAGTTTTATTCATATGAAAATAATGCAAAGTAGAATTTATTTTAAAATAAAGGAATGTGCCAAGGAAGCAGAAGAATCTATGTGAGTGTGCTGTGCGGAGTTGTGTACGAGATGAAAAGGGATCGTGTCGTCTTTGCTTAGTTACAGTCATGTAATCATATGGAGTAATGGAGTGCTTTTTCAAAATTATTTGCAGGATAAACAGTTGCCGAACAGATAGAACATCGCACTCGTTTAGTAATTTGTGGGTTGGGCAATCGAAAGGACGAAAGTTGATCACTTTAAGAACAGCTCTCTGCGCTCTTTCCAGGTGTATCAGAGCGGTCTTATGTGCACCGCCCCAGGATGTAACGCAGTAAAGTAACAGTGATTGACAAAGGGCTAAATAAACTGAAATGGCTTTGGTTGATTCTGCATAACAGTGAGGTGTTGAATTAATCACTTTGAAAAAGGAATAGTCAAATTGAGGATATTCACTGAGTACTATATGGTGTGAGAACACGATTTCTAAAAATTTTCACGATTGAAAATAATCTCAGTACAGAGTACTAAAAAAACCGACCTCAAAAGTACGTGGAATTACGTCTATTTGCTAAGTTTCATTGAAATATCCCCTAGTTCGCCACTATACAGGACTTGCTACTGGAGATAATAAAAATAGGTTCTCACTACGACACTACTCAAAGTATATCGAGAGAAAAACGCCTTGAATTGGAGAAATAGCAAAATCAACTAAATAATTGCTTAAAGTAATTGCTCCTAAATTAAAGTTAGGCGCTATTTATAAAAATGAATCTTCATGCGTGAACAGCCACCCTTTGAGGTGGATGATTTTCTTCAAAATGAAATGGGACCACTATGGAAATACCCCCTTTCCAACAAAAAAAGAGTCACGAAAATCGGTTCACAAATACCGGAGTTATCGCGTAACATACATACAAAAAAAAAACAAAAAACAAAAGAACATACAGTCGAATTGAGAACCTCCTCCTTTTTTGAAGGCGGTTAAAAATG